GACTCCTTTCTTTTTGTACAAATTAAAAAATTTAATAAAAATTAATCGTATTTCACGTTGTTGCATAAGATGAAGGGCGAGTATTCTTATTCTCAGGTGGGTTTTACAGAAAATATGCTTGTTGTTGGATTAAAATCGTTTCCCAACTGCAATGACTTCCTTTTTTTTCTTTTTTCTTTTTTTACGAATGCACAGAATGACTTATTATGTTTCGCCAAAGCCAAGAAGTGTAGAGTAAGTCATCTACTGCCACATCATGCATATTATTATGCAAGCGTAGAAAATATTGGAGAACTGACAACATCGGTATGTGAACTTTTAGATTGCCGTGTCTCCTAGCTAAATCAAAAATCAATCGACTATGCCACCAGTGGCGTGGCGTGAATTGCGATGTATCGATTGTTATGCCATTTAAACCTATGGTAATTAACCGATTATTAAGGTGTTTGCTGCGAACACCCTGTTTATCGATTTTTTTCCATAGGTTTAAATGACATATCAATCGAATATATTAGTCCGGGAGCACATGTAGTCCCGTGGGACCGTTAATGATACAAGTTGGCGAGATGGCTTGATCTCTTCGTCTTGATGTCCTGAAACAGAATTTCGATGCTGCCAGGCTCAATTTTTCCCGGAACACCCTTAAATTCAAGATGGCGCCCAAAATGGCCGCTACGGGGGTGAAGTGGGTGAAAGTGACTCCCATGGTCGACATGTATGTCGATTCCTACGTATTTTTGGTCGAAAATTTCAAATATATGCTTAAAAATGTACTCCGACTTCTTAAAGACCCTTAAATCCAAGATGGCGGCCAAATTTCCCCTCCTGAAAGTCAAACGGCCACGTGTGCTCCTATATGGCATGTGAGGTATCTTACATACCATTTTTTGGGCCGTAAAATCCAAAAATGATGTCAAAAAATCCTTTGCGATTCATTTAAGGCTTCAAATTGCAAGATGGCGGCCAAAATAGCTGAAATTTTGGAACCAAAAATTCTATAATAGCTTCTCATATCATGTGACGTATCGAACCCAATAGATTTCTGGTCGTAGAATCCAAATCTTGAATTCAAAATTCACCCCGGCCCCTTGGGATGTCCAAAATTCAAGATGGCCGCCGAAATTATCCCTCACAGGATCATACAGTCAGCCTTGACCTTAGAATAGCAAGATATGTATCCATTTACAGGTTTACTGGGTCGTAGAATTCATAAATGAAGGTTAAATCAACCTTTCAAACTATTAAGAACCCCCCCCCCCTTCAGCATAAATTTAATGGGCAAGATAGCAAATCATAATGAATCAAAGATTATGTAGCTTTAAGAAGATTACACTAAACGAAATAGGATTGTCTTTTTTTTGGCAGAAATAAAAATGAGGTTTTATTTACAGACAAAGTAACAAAATGAGAAAAAGTTTATAAAGCGACATGATACACACATCATAGGTGTACATTTTTGGAAAAAAACGAAGCAAGCACAGGTTTTTGATAAGAATTTAGGGCGTTTTTGGTTTTTCTCTGGGTTCAGTCTTTTCAATGGGCATTAGGAAAATATTTCAAAGGAGAATGCTAGAAGAGGATCCTTTCAGGATGCCTTGCAACTTATCCTTCGTAATAAACTTATCATTCATAAACAAGAGCACTAACACTAAACAATCAATTGCATTTTGTAGCACCTAGCTATTCGTAGAAATGTAAGATATTCTTGGCAACGCGATTATTGCTAATTAATTAACTGTTACCAAGGAAAGGAACAAAAAACAAAGCAAGAAGAAGAAAAAACCGGGCTTGTAAACAGTTAAGCAACATGACCTTTCAAAATTGAACTAAATTATCTTTTAAATGTCTGATAACTACTTTTTTCTGAACATCCCATCAATAACGAGAGGCATAAACCAAATTATTTTTTAAACAATTTTGTCTAGAGTTTTTAACTATTTGTACACCGATAACACCGGTCAACATGGGTTCCGTCCTTCGAACCAAACCAATTTTTTTCGATTCCTAGGTACTACAGAAGCCCGAAAATGGCCATATTAACTTCAGAAAAATTGGCTGGTCCTCAGGGCGCCGCCATTTTGAATTTTTCAAAATTAAGAAAACTCACGATTAGATATTTGCAAATATCTCCTCAACGGTTCATCTCACGAAAAAACCAAAAAACCAGTGGAAAGAGCATAAAATTTCCTATAGAAATCATCCTCTTTTATTTTTTCTAACTTAATTTTTTGGTCGTGAAATTAACGTTTTCTTCAAAAATTAGCTTAAAAAAGGCGTATTTTTGCTGATTTTAGTAGAAACTTTGCTACATACCTCCAGCCACAATTATCTGAGAAAAAAACTGTCATGCTCATTGAAAAGAACGTAAAATTTACTGCTAGAAAACATATGTCATTAGTTCCTAGACTTGATTTAATCCTGTGAAACAGCAGTTTATCAGCTCCGCCCTTAAAATGTGATTTTTTCTACCATTTTCCCTAGAATCACGATAAAAAGAGAAAAAACTCTGAACACGTGACCCGAACTGTGTGCCAAAGAGGTCAAAAATTTTCGATCAGAGTCAACAATTGTGAGTTCCAATGAGTATCAGTACAGAACTGAGGGGGGAGAGAGTTCAGCTCAGGCAGTTTGCATTGGAATATTAAGGTAAGGTAACGTCGAGAGATCTATAATTTTGGGTCTTTTTATACCTCATCAGTAGATCACACTCGTCATGTGAATCCAACTGAAAATCTCGCAAAATCCAAGACGGCATCAAAGCTCAAGTTCGAAGTACAAGTTTTGTATTACAAGACGGCAAGTTTCGTATTGGTACTCATTGGACCTCAAAATGTTTGACTCTGATTGAAAATTTTTGAAGTTTTTGGCTTTTGATCTCACTGACGAGTGTGATCTACTGACGAGATCTATAACAAGACCCAAAATTATAGATCTCTCGCCGTGGTCTCTTCTTCATATTCTGATGCCAATTGCCTGAGCTGAACGCTCTTTCTCTTCAGTTATGTACTGCCGTACTGGTTATCCATTAGAGCGCAAAATATTGACTCCAATTGAAAATTTTGGAACTTTTTGGTTTTGTTTTCAAAATAGTGTGGACCCAGCACTATTTTGCCGCCATTTTACACAGTTCGGGTCACGTTTTTAGGGGTTTTTCTCTTTTTTCGTGATTCTAGGGAAAATGGTCGAAAAAATTACATTTTAAGGGCGGAGCTGATAAATTGCTGTTTCACAGGATTAAATCGAGTTTGAAACTTATTGACACATGTTTCCTACAAATAAGTGAATCGCAAATCAGGGCTTATCCATCAGAATAAGCGATGACGTTAGCAGTTGTAATTAATTTTTTAAACGTGTAAAATTGAAATATTTCTTAAATCCACACGCGTCACGCCTTTAAGCCGCAATTCTTAAAACTAAAATGTCGCAAATTGTGAAAGGAAGGTTACTTTAACCTTCATTTATGAATTTTACGACCCAATAAACCTGTAAATGGATACATATCTTGCTATTCTAAGGTCAAGGCTGACTGTATGATCCTGTGAGGGATAATTTCGGCGGCCATCTTGGATTTTGGACATCCCAAGGGGCCGGGGTGAATTTTGAATTCAAGATTTGGATTCTACGACCAGAAATCTATTGGGTTCGATACGTCACATGATATGAGAAGCTATTATAGAATTTTTGGTTCCAAAATTTCAGCAATTTTGGCCGCCATCTTGTAATTTGAAGCCTTAAATGAATCGCAAAGGATTTTTTAACATCATTTTTGGATTTTACGGCCCAAAAATGGTATGTAAGATACCTCACATGCCATATAGGAGCACACGTGGCCGTTTGACTTTCAGGAGGGGAAATTTGGCCGCCATCTTGGATATAAGGGTCTTTAAGAAGTCGGAGTACATTTATAAGCATATATTTGAAATTTTCGACCAAAAATACGTAGGAACCGACATACATGTCGACCATGGGAGTCACTTTCACCCACTTCACTCCCGTAGCGGGCATTTTGGGCGCCATCTTGAATTTAAGGGTGTTCCGGGAAAAATTGAGCCTGGCAGCATCGAAATTCTGTTTCAGGACATCAAGACGAAGAGATCAAGCCATCTCGCCAGCTTGTATCATTAACGGTCCCACGGGACCCCAAAAATGAACATGTGCTCCCGGACTATATCGCAAAGCACGCCACGCCACTGTAGGCCACGTCCCAAACGTGCTCAAAATTTAACCGTGCTCATAAAAATCGCAGGAAATAGGTACTCCGCATTTGGCACCGAACGGAAATGATACTGCCATTTTTAAAAATCTTTCTACGTGAATTTCCCGGAATGTTACGCAGGCTATAAAATCCTTATCATTTTGCTCTCTCGGAGAAAACTACAAGGTGGACGTCATAAAGTAAATGTGCGTCATTAAGTGATTGAAAGTAATGAAATAATCATAAAATTCGTCGTTCCTCAAACAAAACAACGTAACAACATCTCGAGGTTGTTTTTTTTTCTTGTAAATCAAATTTTTGCTTTAAAAAAAACCTGCGGCAATTCTAATTGAAAGCGTCACCTATTTATCCTCTGATCACAAGCTAAAATCAACAATTTTTGGACAACAATTTCACAGTTATATTTTTGTAAAAAATCGAGTTGTTCAGGTCGATTTTGCAACCTCGGAATGGATTTACATTCCTTCGTCCACAAAATGACAAATTGGACGTATCTCTGCCAAACGGAACTATGTGCATTATGACGTGAGCCCTGTTATGCATCCATTCTTATGGGTCTCAGGGCTCACGTCATGATGCACATAGTTCCGTTTGGCAGAAAAACGTCCAATTGAAACAGAGGTGCGTTCACCGGTCTGCAGGGCGTTAGCCGAGATGGGTGGTTTTGGAATAGACTAATCGATTAAAATGCATCGAATCTGATAGTCGATCGATTGTTCATCGGGAAAGCGAAAGCGATGGCTCCCTCCTGCAGTTATTCATTGGTATCGGCCGGCGGCAGAGGTTCCAGGTTTCGGACGACACCGGGAAGAATCGGAATAAATTAGACGTTGGAGCGGATCGCGGTGACCCGGGGTCAAAATTAGCCTCTTTGTGCTACGTCCGGTTAGACGCGAGTCGGGCGAGAATCGAGGCAACGGCAGCACCGATCATCAACGCTGATCAACGAAAAAGCATGGTTTTGAGAAAGAAAAGAAAAGACTCGCCTTTGAATCGCCTGAAAAGATGACTTGCGCAAGAGCGCGCCCGCGAAATTTCCTCCTACCCCGTTTTTTGTGATCCCAAGTGATTTTTTTTCCCCGAGCTCAAGTGATTTCCGCGTTTCTCGTGTGTTTTCTGATCAGAGTTTTCTTTTAGTGTGCACCTTGGATCTTGGATAGTTTTTGATTTGTGAAGGTGAAGTTCAAAGTTCCTCAAAATGGCCGCAGTGATTGGAATGCTGATTGATGGATACAGGACGATTAATGATGACTGGAGTGGTACGTTGTTTTCTTTACTTGAGGGGGTGTGCACCCTGACTGCTCCGCGGCCCAAATCCCAAGGAAGGACTGGGCTATTCCGCTGAATAAAGTTTACATTACCACGTGATAAACAAGATCAAGTTCATGGCCTACTCTGGGCTGCCTTTTTTCCTCCCTTTTTCTCCCCTTCTTTTATTAGGCAAGCAATACTTTTTAGCATCATACACTTCCGGATATAAATGAATTGTCCATATCGAGAAACAAAATTGCTTTATTTTACTTCTTGAAACTTTTGCCCAACTATCTGTTCTCCGCAAAGGCGTAGCGTTGTCAAGAAGAATTTAGGAGGTCTGAACTCCCCTCCCCTCCATGACCAAAAAACCTTCATTCAAGCAGCAGTCTGCTGTCCATAAATTACAGGTGCACTTGATGCCATATTTAAACTCCTTTGTCCGTCGTTAGACGAGTTCACACCCCATATCTAAACTAGAAATAATGCTATTTCAACCTTTCCCCCCCCCCCCTTGCAGGATGACAATATTTCCTCTACCCAAGGGTAACGAGTAAGTAAAAAGCTATCAGGGATGGATCGATTGGCCCTCCCCTCCCCTTGTAAAGGAGTAAAGAAAACATGTGCACGAAGAACATAAAAAGTTTAGAAATGCACTGTGTATTTGAGTTTTGCTAACGTGATATTGTATTAGCAGAAAATTACTTAAAATGTTGCTGACATTTTCGGTCTTTGGATAATTAGTTGCACTAGAGACTGAAGTTCTTCTCTTCCCCTTTCTTACCCATTGCTTTGTCATCATAACATGGCTCGAGGCACCTCCCCCCCCCCTCCTCCTCCTCCAAGGTGCCACAATTAATTTATAAATATCCCACGAAGAAGGTAATTCTATAAGAGAATTCCGAGGGGTTTTTTTTTTGTTTTGGCCATCTTTTCAACGTAAAAAGAATGGTTCCAGAACCTTTTTATTGAAACTCTCTGCTAGCACTGGCAGTGAGAGAAAAAAGTATGAGCAACGAACCGGATATTATAATATTAAGGAAGAAACAGAGATTCATTAAATGGTGACCAATCTAGTATATACTTTGGTGACGTAGACCATCGCAGGGGGTCTACTTAATTTCAAATGTACCAATGCTGTAACGAAAATACTTAAGATTCTTGCTGGTGAATCATGGTTCACATCGGACTTAGTGTTGTTGACGCCATTTTCAACTACGTGTCACATGTTGTCACCTTCCGGCCAACTTGTCACAAGCGCCATCTATGCTTAGACGCTATGTTGCCAGATATGTCATTATGGATTTAATTTTTCTTAAAACGTTCTACGGTTACGTCAATGAATATTTCAGGGATTGAGTTTTATGACAAAAGATATATAACGTAAAATTTTCAACTGATTCTATACAATAGTATTTCCGAAAAAAATGGACAAATCAGAGAGTTTGGCAACAGTGTTGCCTAAACAAATGACACTTGTGATATACTTTGGCTGAAAGGTGATGATATTTTCTTTCCTATGACTCAACTCCGCGCCGTCCCTGCGTTTTCACCTGACTGGAAAGCGCACGGAGTTTTGCAAACGATATGCCTCATCTAGAAGATTAATTGCGTACTTTGACGAAGTTCAATGACCTTAGGTCACAGGATCTACACGCACGGATGGTTGTACCGGGAAATTTCTTTATTTCAGTTTCCAACTTTGCAGATTTCCCGATGTACTTTATTTTTTAACCTGAAAATTAATCAATGCTACGTCTTGAAATCCCTCGTGATTTTCCCCGTAAATTTCAGAAATGTATGATACGAAAAATTCAAAAACGAAAGTTGACTCATTCACCTGGGGAAAATAAAATAAAGAGTGGACGTCACTCAAAAAGGGAGACAATTTATAAACAGCAAACGCTTGCAACCGCCACTTTTTTCCGCCCCTATCATACGGTGGCGTGGCGTGCTTCGCGATATATCGATTGATCGGCCATTTAAACCTATGGAAAAGTATCGATAAACAGGGTGTTCGCAGCGAACACCTTAATAATCTATTATTTCCCACTGCTTCAAATGAGGAAATATCGACAGATCACAAAGCACGCCACGCCTTTGCTATCAAAAGTCATATTACAGGACCCTGAATATTTTCAGAGGGCTCCAAAGTCACGTGACTGAATCTTACTTTTTGATTGGTCGAAAAATATATCGACGGTGTACGGACGGTATTTTTTCATTCGCATTTTGGATTTGTTTTTGGTTTATCCTGGAAATATTTTATTTTATTTTTTTTTTATTTTTTTTTTTTAATACACATCACATCTCCTAAAAATCCAAGCCGCTCTTATTATTAATTCTTAGCTGAATTGAGAAACATCCGAATGACTGCAGAGCTAGAAACTGTGATTTTGTCCCGTTTTTTAGTGGTTATATCATTAAGAAACCTCGCAAGAGACCTATTTCCACGGATTGTAAAGTAAGAAATAAAAAGTTCAATGTACGCTTGCTTTGCAAAGCCTCACTAACTTGATTCGAGTCGGCAATAAGCGATTATTGCGCGTTTCGCGAGTCATTGGTTTCACGACGAAGTTGCCAGGTTGTGCCATTCAATTGAGATATTTTACATGAGTTTAGACGGGAAATATTGCTTATTATCCAGCACAATCTGACAACTATGTTTCACGATTTCCATAAGTATTGACTCGCGAAGCCACATGGCCGTGAGCATTCGAAGAGACATTGAACAAAGGCTCGTGTCAGACATGCAGGTCTAAATTTTCCAGGCGTCTAGGATCTTAACACCTGTCAAAATGCCTAGAGGGCCTTTTCTATTTGATTTTTATCAATTTCTATGTATGTATGTATGTATGTATGTATGTATAAGGCCGCTTTTAAAGCGCTCTCTGGCGTTCTGCTACTCCTAGCCGCCAAAGTCCCCTATCCTCCCAAAGCCCTTCAGGGAGTTGGCAAACCCTCATTTCTTCTAAAACCCCCTGTCGCCACCATTTCACTGGGCGTCCCCTTTGTCTCCTCCCAGGAGGAACCCAATCAAGCAACTTCTTTGGCAGCCTTTCATTCGTCATTCTATTGACATGACCATACCAGACAAGCTGTCTGGTCATCAATTTCTATTCCTGTCAAAAAAAGCATGACGACATGATCGTTTTGGGCAGGGTTAGTTTTCAAGATGAAATCTGTAGTTGTGATTTGATGGTGTGTCTGATTCGTTGAACGGACGATTGAAAACAGTTAAAATTAATTTGTTCCCCTCTCTCCTCCGTGGCATTCTTAACTTTTTAAACTTAGTAGGCATTGGGCGCAACTTTAATGGTACCTAACTTGTAACCTGGCGTCAGGTTTGACTTGATCTTCCTCTCCTCCTTTGTCAGGTACATTTAAGGCTCCTATCGACTCCAACTACCCCTTACAACCACCTCGACAAATCTGGACAGCCCCTAGATGTGTTTCAATACTTCAAAAATAATATTCAATGTCGCCTATTCAACTGAAACCCTTTTTTTTTTCTTTTTTACCTAGTAGAACGAGTGTGGGTATGGTTTTTAGTCAGAAAATAACGTCACTCAAGACTTTACAATAAGTGTACAAGTTCATATCTCCTTAAATTATTCAGACCTGGTAAATACTCAAAGAAACAAGATCGTGAATTACCGTTTGCAAACTGATTATGACGAAGCAAAAATATCCTTCAGTTGTTCCATTCAATTTAAATTGTAATTCTTAACCAAAATTTTGGACTGTCCACGGCATCAAAAAGTGGAAACCGATTGAATCTTGGTACTTGAAGAATGTGATGAGCTATGAGTGAGGTTGCTTGATTCTTAAATCATGTGCGTGCTTCCGGCTGACGTCGTTAACATTGACGATATTCCGCCCATTGTTTTTTTTCTTTTTTTCCCTACTTTGAAGGTTATGGATGTATTTCCTTGATGAACTTGCGAAGTCAAGTTCAAGATAACGAAACGTTCCAGTATCACCGATTCTACCATCAGGGGCCGATCTGAGTGGAGTCCTCATCATTGCTGATAGCGATTAATACTAAATAGAACAAAAACTATGTTCAAATTTTCCAAATATATGGTATTTCACCACCACTGCTACCACTAATCAGGAGATTGGAGTCATTATGGTGAAAATCCTATTAATTAAAGTTCACACTGGAAACCACTAATTTGGTCATTTTAACCATGGTTTTTTCTCAGTGTGTCACATTCTTGCATTAATCAGCTGAACACGTCACAATAACGCTTTCTTAGGTAACGTAGCTAACTGAGAGCGATGATCACACAAGTATCAACGAAATAAGTAAAATTTAGATGATTACAATCCAATTCCAACGTCAAATTTTGTAGAAAAAATATCAGTCACTCACTGGGCAATAACCCCCATCATTGGTGTGACTGATGACGGACCGAATGTAGATACATGGCCGCTCTGGTGGTAGTTTGTTGTCAGAGATGCGTTGAGCGTTGAAATCTGTTAAGAATTTTGAGGGCGCAATTGAGTTTTGTTCTTTTTTTTTGTTATGTATGTATGTATGTATTTACGTATGTATTAATGTTGATTAAAACAAACGGATGAGCGGTAAATTTTGAGATCCAAGAGTCTGGAGTCTGTAAGTCTTTTAATCACGGAAAAAAAGGAAAGGGTTAAAAACCAACTTGATAAGGGAGCTTAAAATAATGGTAGTACCCCGATAAATTAGGTTATACTAACCCAACTGTTGCAGTGCTACCGCAAACTTAAGTTACGGTACTACTACAATTGATTGGAAATGCCCTTCCCGTATACAAAGCTAACAACTTTTGAATTTCGAAGTAAGTGATATCATCAACATCATTAATGCTTACCGTGGTTTCCCCAAACCGGTTCTCAGTAGCCACTTGTGAATGCAAACTATTCCCAAATGGCAGCTTAGCGTCCGAATTCTCATCGGACATCCCACGCTCTCATAGAGTGCCGCTTCACAGCAATGAAGATTTTGGATCATAACTCGAAAATT